AATTAATTTTAAAATCCACAGCTCGGGGAAATGAAGTTAGGCAGCAGGAATTTTTTAGGAGAATAATTTTAGGATTTTTAAAAGTTAAGGATATTTAAAATAAATAAAACCCAGGCTAGATATGAGAACACAGAGGTCATCATCTAAAAGAGCATTCAGAATAGGTGTAGATTCAGTCTCATGGGACAGCTTCAAGACTTGTCACACATTTTGCATGTTGAAACCTAGACATGCTAAAATTACATTTCTAGAGAGGAAAAAAACAATTTTTAATACTAGTACTAGCATGAGTACAAAAGTAGTACAAAATGTACCTGTAGAGTTGCTAGAGTTGGTATGATATTGGTACAGAATGAAAGAAAAGCCAAACATGACACCCACTGAAACAAAACATGCCAGCTGGAAAGCCCTTGAACTCTACAGTGTTCCAGGGCAAGACAACGTGCTGGTCTTTTTGTTAGCTTTGAGCATGCCTGAGAATTTTCTGGAAACTGCTAGTACTGAAGCCCAGATTGCCTGCTCTGAGCTAAAAGGAGACAGAAACAAATCAAGCCAAGGCATTGATTTAGAATTTTGCAGTCACTCAATCCCAGGGCGGGGAGCCTGTTTACAGGAATGTTTCACTTAGGAGACTGACAAATCCACTATATAAGTTTGCAGGCCATATATAGTCAGTCCCCTGGTTTACAAATTATATAATAGTGAATTGATGCTCATTAAATTTCTGTAGGTGTAATGGGTGTACCATTCACAAGTAGTGTTTTAGTAAATAAGGAAACACTTTTTAAAAACTAAGAATTTGTATGGGTACACATGTATTTATATCATCTGTGTTCATTCATCCATTTACCAGAGTTCTATTAGTGACTTTTACAAATTCAGTGTTGGGGATACAAAAAGGCATAAAATGTGGTCCCCGACTTGAAGAAAACCACAATCTAGTTAGAGAGATCAACATGTGAGGAAGTAATTATGGTACTACATGATAAGTGCTAACAGAGGTTTGGACACTGTATTATGGACTCAGTGAAGAGAAAATAGTGAATCCCACCTGGGGAGAAAGGAGAGTCAGGGAAGGCTCCTGAGAAAAGAATATTTGAGAGGACTATCATAGGGTGAGCAGGAGTTTACCAGGCAGACAAGAGTAGGGGAAGGGTATTCAGGCAGAGGAAGCAGCATATACAAAAATTTAAGCAAAAACATGTGTGTAGAAGTGCAGGGTGTCTATAGAGAACTCCAGTCTAAAAGGAGGAAGGAAAGCTGGGGTAAGACAAAGTTGACTGTGGCCTTGGATGTTAGTTTGGACATGGGTTCAGCTGTACTCAAAACAATGTCCCCAACTAAAAGTGGCTTTGAAAATAAAGATTTTATTTCTCTCACACATAATATTATGAACATGAACAGTCTGGGGCTGGCAGGAAATCTTCCCAGAAGTCTTTTATCATGGTGCCCCTCCATGCTGGGGGTTGGCCTTTGTCCATATGGTCCAACAAGACTCACCCCTGCACATCTACAATCTACTCTTACTACCTCTGTATTCTACCCTTGCCATGACTGTCACGAAGCACTCTCTATTCACTCTTACTACTTTTATGCACTCACATTGTATATTCTGGCTGGAAGGGGGCAGGGGAGGATAAGCCTCTTCCCTCTAAGGGTACAACTTGGAAATTGCACCTATCACTCACATGGTGTATTGACTCAGGAAAGCCTAGATACAAGGAAGACTGGGAAATGTAGTTCTTGTTCTGGGCAGCCATATAGACTGTAATCTTCCAAGTTAAAAGTGGGAGGTCCGATGTCCATGGCAAAGGGGAGATAGAAGATTATAAAGGCCTTTAGCAGCCTCTGCCTTTGCATGTTATACCAGTGATTTCTAAAATACCTTTGGGAAAAACTGATGCAACAGGCTTGCATTTTTCTGCTTGATTTATTCTGACACGCTGGCTTCATAGTGACTTTTTTGATTTATCAAAACTAGAATTGTCAGGATGTGAGAGATTACTCAATGCCAGCAAGTACGTAATAAAAGAGTGCTGACCCAATCGCATGTGCTTTGTAAGGACAAATTCTGACACTGTCTTAAAGACACTTTCTAACATTTCTGGCTTGCAGAAGTTTTAAGAGCACCACTGCGTCCATTGTCCACATTTATAGAAACAAGTCATGAATATATTTTCACTACCCCAGACTAAGAAGACAGGAACAGACTTCTGGGGGGGGGGGAGCAGAAAAATGAGGCAGATATCAACTTCATACTATCTTGGGTCTGAATCCCAGTATATGGCTTAGAGTGCGACTTGGGACAAATCACTTGTATTTCTTGGCTTCAACTACTTCATCTGTAAAATGGGGATAATGGTGACTTTTGTTGGCAGAATTAAATGAGATAACATGCATGAGCCATAGAGGGAGTTCAACAAATGTGTGCTTTCTTTCTAATTCAGGATATAAACTATCAGTTATGAAGCGCACAGTACTTGGATAGAAACTACACTCCAAGAAAGGACTTAAAAACCTGGTTTTCTTGCAATAAGATTTTTGCAAGGAGAATACTTTTTTAAAAACTCGTTGATATTCTCAGAAAGATAAAAGAAGATATTGCAGCCATGAAATAGGCAACATACAATAAAAATTAACATTCAGAGAACAACAAAAAAAATTGGAAATGAAAATCATGACAGCTGAAATAAGCTCAATAGAAGGCTTAGAAGATAAAAGTAAGAATAGAAAGTAGACAAAAAGACAGAGTTGAAAAATAAAGGAGAAAATTTAAGAAAAATCAAAGGACTGGTGTGTAGTCAAATAATAGGAGTTCAGAGAAAAGAGAACAGAGGAAAGAGAGGATGGGTGGGGACAGATGAGGGAGAAATCTAAGAAACTCTCCAGAAGATGAGTGTACACATTGTAAGGACCCACCAAATGCCCACTGATATATGCCATCCCGAAACCTTAAGATGCTGGAGACAGAAAAGATCCTACAAGCTTCCAGAGACAAAGAAAGACCAAGAAGATTAAGAATCAGACTGACAGAATGGCATTTGTGTTAGTTTCCCATCCCTGCTATGAAAATAGCCACAAATTTAATGGCATTTGTATTAGTTTCCCATCACTTCTATTTTTAAAAAATTAAAATTTAATGGCTTATAACAATATAAATTTAGTATCTTACAGTTCTGGGTGTCAGAAATCCTAAATGGTTCTTACTGAGCTAAAGTCAAGGTGTAGTTTCAGCTGTGTTCCTTCTGGAGGCTCTAAGAAAGAATCTGTTTCTTGGCCTTTTCCAGCTTCTAGAGTCTGACTGCATTACTTGGCTTGTGGCCTCTCCTTCTTCAAAGTCATTAGTGTAGCCCTTTCAAGATTCTCTCTCTCTCTCTCTCTCTCTCTCTCTCTCTCTCTCTCTCTCTCTCTCTCTCTTTCTCTCCTCTCTCTCTCTTTCTCTCTCTCTCTCTTTTCTCCCCCACCCCAACCTCTGCTTTCACTCTCTGTGACTCATCTTCTATGACTCTGACCCTCTTGACTCCCTCTTATAAGGACACTGTGATTACATTGGATCCACTAGAATAATCTCCCTATTTCAACATCTTTAATTTAATGATACCCACAAAGTCTCTTTTATCATGCAAAGTAACATGTTCATAGGTTCCAGAGATTACAGCCTGCATGTCCTTGGGGTGGGTGCATTATTCTGTCCACCTCAGCATTAGACTTCTAAAGAGCAACACTGGAACCTAGTCAGTAGTGGAACAACCCTCTCCATTTTGCATGGCAATCATTTCCCGCCCGGAAGATTTCTCTCTCCAGCCAAACTCTCAATCAAGTGTGAGGGTAAAATAAAGACATTTTCAGATGTAAATTCTCAAAAAATTTACCTCCCACACATCCTTTCTCACGAAACTCCTGGAGAATGTTCTCAAACAAATGACTCAACCAAGAAAGAAAAAGCACTGGGGATACAGGAAACAGTAGATCCGATATAGGTATGAAGGAAAGGGGATCAGTAAAATGATGGTGAGGAGACATTCCAGGAGGATAGCTGTGTAGAGTACAGATTGGAGAGGTTCAGAAGATTCCAGAAGAGACCTTCTTGGGAAGGTGAACTGAGTGTATATCTGATGCATGTACCTTATTGTGAGGAAATACAGACAAAGTGTAAGGGGCTTGGGATTGAATTAACAATATGTTCATAGAAAAACCAAGCACATGAAAATAAAACACAATTACTAACTCCAAGAAAAACAAGAGTTGTGCAGGAAAAGTTAATCACAGTTCACTGTGTTTGGCAGTTTTATAGCTGCGAAGAGTATTTCATAGCCATGGTAATGTGAATACTGATCACCAGTTTAACCAAAATGAAGCTAAAACAACAATGGGATGATGAGGGATGGGGCAGAGGAGGAAGCAGGGCCAACGCTGAGTTTCCGAGTGGAGGTCAGTAGATAAGGAAATAACTGATAAAGCAGGAAAAGAATAATACAAGAATGTTATTGTCAGCCTGCTGAGCCCAGTGGGAGTCTGCGGAGCAGGGAAGATGAGGAGGATTTGATTCTCTCCACGTGTTTATTTCCCTCGCATATCTTCATATCTTGAATATAATATTCATATTCATACTCTCCCTCATTTCCTCTGTCTCTCTCCCCTCCTTCCTTCCTTCTTTGTCTCCTTGCCCTGGGTTCATCTGTCTGTTTCTCCTCTCCCTCTTGGGAGAAAAAGAAGGGGAAGAAGGAAGAGGGGAGAGGCGAAAGGGGGAAAAAGAATGTTATTTAGGGACCTGGAGGCACACACCAGAGTAATCATCCCGAACAGGTGAAGGCGAAAGGAACTTTGGTTGGAGAAAGAGAAAGAGGGGCCGTCCAGTAAAAGGACAGCAAACTTTTTCTGCAAAGAGCCAAATAGTAAATATCTACAATATAAAACCAAACTGGATTTGATTTCTAGGCTGTAGAACAAATAACCACAAAGGTAGTGACTTAAAACAATGCCCGTTTCTTATCTCCCAGCTCTGCAGGTCAGAAACTTGGTTGGACTCCCTGCACAGGGTCTCAAATGCCTGAAATCGAGGTGTCAACTGGCCCTTCTGATATGCGGTCTCTGGGGAAGAACCTGCTTCCAGCTCATCTGGAATGCGGCAGAATCCAGCTACTTGCAGTTATGGGACTGAGGGCCCATTTCCTGCCACATGGCCCTCTTGTGCTTCTAATCTCTACTTTTCACTTCTGCTTTTTCTTCTAATTGAGGTATAATTGACATATAACATTATATTAGTTTCCGGTTTACAACATAATGATTTGTATTTGTATATATTGTGAAATGATCACCACAATAAGTCTAGTTAACGTCCATAGTTACGCATTTTTTTTCTTGTAATAAGAACTTTCAAAACCCACTTGAAACTGGTTCAATTTTCTCTTCTGCTTTTAAGGACCCAGGTGCTTACATTGGGCCCATCCAGATAATCCAAAATAACTTTCTTATTTTATTTTTTTTCTAGATTTTTTTTTAATTGGGGAATTGGGGAAGGGAAACATTTGTGTTTTCCCATCAGCTCCAAGTCAAGTTGTTGTCCTTCAATCTTAGTTGTGGAGGATGCAAGCTTAGCTCCAAGTCCAGTTGCCACTTTCAATCTAGTTGTGCGGTTGTGCAGCCCACCATCCCATGTGGGAGTCGAACCAGTAACCTTGTTGTTAAGAGCACACGCTGTCACCAGCTGAGCCATGGGGCTGCCCATTGGCAGCTCAGCGGCAGCTCAGCTCCAGTTCCATGGACCACACTGGTCCATGTGGGAGTCGAACCGGCGACCCTGTTGCTCAGAGCTCGTGCCCTTAACCGACTGCACCACCTGGCCGGCCCTAACTGCTATTTTAAGGTCAACTGATTAGTCACCTTAGTCACATCTGCAAAGCCCCTTGGCCAAGCAAAGCAACATATTCACAGGTGTCACAACAGGTGGTGAGGTCACATGCCTTTGGAAGGGGAAGCAGTGCCATACTCTCTCTGTCACACACAACTCAGTTCTACCACTCTAGTGCAAGAACAGCCATCAGCAACATGTAAATGAATATATACATACATACATGAATGTTTAGGAAAAGAACTGGAAGAACATCCCAAATCCTTAACTGTTATCACCTCTAAGGAAGACAGTGGGGGCTGAGCACACAGGAGCTGTTCACATTTTATTCTACCTACGCACCTTTTGATGACTAGACAATGTACTGATTAGGTAATAAAATTTCAAAACTTGTATTGTATATTAATATACAATGATTAATATATGTATAGAAAAATTCAACGAATGATGATTATATCTGCAGAGAGGGAATATAGTGAACTTTATTTTTCCAAATTACATATTCCTGTCATCTTTGATTTTTTTTGTTATAATAAACTTTTTTAAATGCTTTTATTTTTCAATTACAGTTGGCATACAAAATTATATTAGTTTCAGGTGTACAGTGCAGTGATTAGACATTTATATAACTTACGAAGTGATCACCCAGATAAATCCAGTACACATCTGACACCATACATAGTTATTACAATACTACTGACTATATTCCTCATATTATACTCTACATACATCCCCATGACTATTTTGTAACTACCAATTTGTACCTCTTAATCTCCTCTCCCTTCACCCATGCCCACAACACCCCCAACCTGGCAACCATCAAAATGCTCTCTGTATCTATGAGTTTGTTTCTATTTTGTTTGTTCATTTATCCTGTTCTCTAGATTCCATACATAAGAGAAATCATGTGGCATTTGTCTTTCTCTGTCTGACTTATTCCACTCAGCACAATACCTCTAAGTCCATCCATTTTTTTGCAGATGGCAAGATTTCATTCTTTTTTATGGCTGAGTAATATTTTGTTGTATATATGTACCACCTCTTTATCCATTCATCCATTGACGGACATGCAGGTTGCCTCCATATCTCGGCTACTATAAACAATGCTGCAATGAACATATGGATGCACATATTCCTTTCAAGTAGTGTTTTGTGTTTCTTCTAATAAATACCCTGAAGTGAGGTTACTGGGTCCTCTTTGTCCCTTATTATAGACTTTGTTTTAAAGCCTATTTTGTCTGATACAAGTATTGCCACCCCAGATTTTATTTTTTACTTCCATTTTCATGACATATCTTTATCTTTCCCTTTATTTTCAGTCTGATGTGTCTTTCGATCTGAAGTGAGTCTCTTATAGGCAGCATATATAAGGGTTTCATTTTCTTATCCATAGCCACCTACATTGAGCTTCTACTACTAAGGTGAACAAAAAACTACATATACTTTTAATTTTACTGATGTTTATGAAAAATTTAAGTAAAAAACTAGATAGTAAATATCTACAATAGTTATTCATAACAGACAAATGCTCATGTTACAACTTTAAGTTAAAAGTGCAACATAAGATTTTACCCAGAAAATAAATTCAGTTATATAAATATTCATAGAAAATGACTGGAAGGAAATCCACTAAAATGTTAACAGTGGGTGTTCTAGGCAGTGAAATCATGGATAATTATTTCTTCCTTTCTAGTTTTTACCACTTCCCAATTTTCTATTACAAGCATGTATTATTTTTATAATTGAAAAAATAAGCACTGTTTTTTAAAACTAACTGTAATTTCCAAGTATACTGCAGTATTTATGTTAGTGAGTTGCCAAATTTTCTTCTCAGCAGAGAAGGCTGCTTAGAAAACAGTAAAAATCAGAGGAGATCTTGGTGAGTATGGGTTCTAAAGAAAAGGAACCTGAGGATGCATAGTGATAAGGCAGAGATCATGTCCTTTTACAGTCGCAGGTGGGGTGACTCCTGCCAATTGACCAGAACACTCAGGGTACTGAAAAAGCCACCCCCTCCCCTGGCCCATACTTGGCACATTCTAATGAGCTACCATTTTCTATGTAGACCCGATTTATGATTCCCATTTTCCTAACAACACCCACCCTTTCAATACCCCATGGGGTGATACTCTCAGCGGGTGGCTTTCTACATGTTCCTGAGATGGTTTCCTCTGCAGATTGATGATATGTTTTGTTGGTGCACATTCTTACAGCTCAGAAGAACAAGCACACACCTGAGATGCAGCCCTCACCAGCTCTTCCTGAACAGGCTCTTCCCCAGACACATTTGTGGAGCTTCAGCCCTCTCCACACCTATCCTCAGTCCTTGCCTGGACAACTTGGAGCTCCTACTTCTGGCAAGACGCTGTGTGAGACCCAAGGATACAAAGTAGAGTGCCTGCACTCAGGAGCTCATGGCCAATGAGACATAAAATGTGGCCACAAAAGGAGACCACACAGCTGGAGAATGGTAAACACTCTAAGAAAGGGCAAGGTGAAATACTGTGTGGGAGATGGAGAAATTAATTCAGTTTTAATGATCCTTAGGTGTTGCCTTCATGGTGAGAATGGGAAGTTTTGAGGGCAGGGGAGCAGTGGATGAGGAGTAGAGATGGAGAACAGAGGCCATATCATGATCTTATCTTTCATGTCATGCTATGATGTCTGAATTCTATTCTCAGAGTAGCAGACATCCCTAGGCCCTTCTGAAAAGTTGTATGTAAATCATTTCATGTTTCAAACATTTCATAAAAGTGTTCAGGATATTTTGAAATTTATAAAACGATATGGGACTGTGGAACCAGTGATGGCTCAGATGAACAGAGCAGGTGCTGACTGTTGGAAATATGCTGCAGAGAGAAATGAGCTGTCCCGTACACAAATGTTGATGGTTTTGTAGATAGTGATGAGTTTCAAACAAGAACAGACACTTGATATTGGTCTGAGCACAGAAAAGCAGGAAGAAAAGTTGCCCCAAGTTCAAACATCCAGCAGAAAAAAAGCATAAACAGCCACCAGTGATCAGAGATAAGCTGCAATCATGGGAACGATTTTGTTTCCAAAGCAACTGAGTCACTAAATGTGTTAACTACAAAAGAACACATCGGGATTTAATTTAAATTTCTGTTAAGTAGAAAGTAAAACAAGGGTCTTTCAGACATGACTAGAGCCCTATGTGATATATATGCCTTATTTAGCTCAACAGACATTTCTGGAGCACCTCTGAGAACTGATTTGTGATCCAGCCTCTGTCTCTTACTAGCTTTCTAATCTTCAGCAAGGCCAGTGGCTTCTTCACCTATATACTTACGAGGCTGGATCAGATTTTTAAACCATCAGTTCTGTAATTGTAGGGTTAGTAGCTTGCAGGAGATGAAATGGTAATTGAAACCTCTTAAACTCAAAATTCTCTAAATCATGAATTACACAGAAAGAGATTCCATTTATCGGTAGCTTGATGTTACCACACTTCTGAGTTAGAAAATTACAGCACCTGTTTAAAGGATTCTGCATATCCTTTAGTGTACCTACTCAGAAGCATTTTCTTATAAAGTACTCAACATTTTATAACTGTACATATTAATTTATTACCAGAATAATTGTATTGGCATGCTCAATAAAGTCATAATTTAAGTAAAAAATATATATATGGGAGATATTTTTGGAAATAAAGAATTATTTTATATTGAAAGTCATTAATCTTTACTTTTTTTTTCAAATTTGAAATTATATCCTATACTTGCCTTCTTAAAGTGAAGCATACTAATTACAAAACCAACCTCCTTCACCGTTCTCAGTAGCTGAGCGTTTTAGGTCAGGAGATGATGTGATCAGTAGATAGCACAAGAGACAACTAGAGGGTAGCATTTGTACCATTAGTGACTTTGAGATTCAAATCAAGAGCCTTACCCTCAATTGGTCTTTATTTCATCAGTGGGAACTTGATTACACATATGTATGGGGTCATATCTCTTTGTTGAATCAGTTAGATCTCAATGTATAATATGTGAACATAGAACTACAATCTAAAAGGGCTGAGAGAACTGTAAGAATCACCTGGTCCAATTCCCCTCTCACTTTGTGGTGAACAAAGATAAAACTAGGCACGATTTAAGTGACTTAAAGTTACACAGCTAATAAAGGGCAAAGTTGAGACTCAGATCCAAGTTTTCCAATTCCAAGTTCAATGCTCATTATAGTCAGCTATCAAAACCTTCACCATTGTCTGTTTGTTTTTGTTTCTTAATCCACAGTATTTTGCATTTATTGAGAGAAGGGTATAAGCAAAAATTAATTTAAATTTTTTTTTACCTTTTATATTGTTTTAAAAGTTTTGTAAGGAAAAAATGAGGAAAAATGATTACTCAAAATGGGTAAAGCTCAAGGTTTATAGTATAATTCAGTCATACACACTTTACACTATGTGGCTCTCTGTTTAAAGAGAAACTTCCCAGGAGTTTTTGAATTTTGAAAGCATGAGCTACTTCAGCTAAAGAGCATCAAAATATCCTTCTATAAAGTCAAGTTCCACCAAATGAGAAAAAAAAGTTTTTTAAATGGGATTACAAAGCAATCAAAAGAAGGAGTTGTTCCAGGTGTTGTTCTAAGGACGATACATGCATTAACTCATTTATCCTTACCACAACTCTATGATCTTACCATTGCTCCAGTGGGGAAACTGAGGCACATCAATATCTGCGCTGCTAAGAGGCAGAGATTGAACCTGGCAGTCTGGCTTCTGAGCATCCAATGCTCAATAATATCTTCTTATGAATTCCATATGCAACTTAGTTGCTTCAGGGGAGTTGGTCCTTTTTGGCCTTTAAACTTTATCCTTTCTTTTTCTCTCTTATACTATAGGGGAAAGAAGGAAGAAACCCCATTGTCCAAATGTCCCTAACAGGAGAGTTCCAGGGGGTCTTTCTAGAGGAGGTACTCATGTGACCCAGATGCTAAAGGCAGGTGCCACTTGCAACAGTAAAGGGAGCCTCAGCTCCTAGAGAGACAACCAACAGAGATCTCCAGACTCCACAGTGACTACATATTGGACACTGAAGAGGGTGGCAGCATATTCATTTATTTCTTCATCTCTGGGCACCAACAGCTACCCTTTTATGTACCTCCAAGACCTTCCTTAGTTGAAAACCAATTTCCTTTGTTCAGTCCCTCTCTGCTCAAAACACTTAGGTTAAGTTTTTCTTGAATTCTGAGAGATTCTGACACCTTACTTAAATATATTACATTCTCCGATCTTGTCAAATGAATATAATAAATACATGTACCCTTAACTTGATGAATGGAGATAATCATGATGCTGTCACAGTGAGGTTCTCAGGGCCTATTTAAGGAGCACACACATCTGCCATCCCTGCTCACTAATATCACTTTGTAATGATGGGAGAAAATTATTTTTTAATTTATGAGCTATAACAGCATTGGAAGACAACAATGAGTGCTCCCTGCAGATCAGAAATGTAGAGGAATTCTAGGAAGAGAGAAAGAGTAGGAGCATTGTGGATGCAGAAATCAGGGCAGGAGTTTAAAGGCATTCTTCCTAAGGAAGCCCTGGAAAAGCCTTTTGGTGGGTATCAACAGGCACGAGAGCAGAAGCGAGCCACTCTTGAGCATCTAAGCTGCACTCAGATCTGTTGGGAATATCAGAGTTCCTCCTCTTTTCTCTGTAAATACAGTTCCCAGCAGTGAACAGAGCCAAAGACAGGGGAGGGCCCTGGGGGAGGTCCTCAGGGAGAGAAGCGGAGCACAGACAGACACATGGGAAGGAAGCAGGAGTAAAAAGGGGAGTCAGCTCAGAGCACAATCCGTCTTGCTGTGATGACTGTAGGGGTCCCCAGTCAGCCGACCAGCTCCTGGACCTGCACGACCCAGGGGATATCTGCCCACCATGGGCATCCCCTTTCTTGTTCACAAAGAGCCTGCCATCAGAGGATCCATCACTGGGGGACAACAGGGCCACCAACGCTGACCAAGATAATCTTTCCTTAATAAATAAACATGGCAACTAATGGTCACCAGATATTTGAGGAAAACCACCACCAAGAAAGAGAAAGGCAGAGAGAAACTTGAAACAGATAACTGATCTTGAAGGAATCAGGGATAACTCGGGCACTAAAGAAAAACACAATATAGAGCTTAAATTTATTTTAATTTTTTAAATGTAAAATTCATTTTAATTTAAAAAATCTGTACTATACTTGCATGATTCAAAAAAAAATCAAAGAAAAATAAGAGATACATTGAGAAGTTTTGCTCCCACACTTGCCCCTCAACCTCATTCCTGTCCATTCCACAGGTAATCACTTTTATTAGTTTCTTGTGGAAATGCAAGCAAATATGAAAAAATATGTACTCATGAGTATTTTCCTTCCTGGCTTACATAAAACATACATGTTATATGTATGAGTTTGTTAGGACTGCCATAACAAAGCACTACAAACTGGGTGTAGTAAACAACAGCTTTCTCTTGTCTCATAGTTCTGCAGTTTAGAGGTCTGAAATTAAGGCACTGGCAGGGTTGGTTCCTTCTGAGGGCTGTGAAGGAAGTATCTGCTCCAAGCCTCTCTCTATGGCCCCCTTCATATTCATATGGTATCCTACCTACATTCAAGTCTGTACCCCAATTTTCTCTTTTTATAAAGACACTAGTTATGATAGATTAGGGCCCACCATAATGACCTCATTTTCACTTGGTTACCTCTTTAAAGACCTTACCTACAAATAAGGTCATGTTCTGAGGCACTAGAGATTAGAACTTCAACACATGAATTGTGAGGGGATGCAATTCAACCCATAAGATTATAATACTTTTCTGATTTTTTCACTTAGTAATTATGCTTTTTTACACTGTGCACTACTTTATTCAGAGGATGTATGATGGTGCATTAGAGAAGTCCTCTATAAATGAACATCTAGATTGCTGTTACAATCTGTCACTATTGTAATAAACTAAACTATCTCTTGTTATTTCAGGCATATCTGTATGATGTGGGATACATATGGGATTGCTTGGTCAAAGGGTAAAGGCATCTGTCCTTCTGATACATAATGCCAAATCATTCTCCTTGGGGACCATTTTATACTTCCTCCAGGCTTGTATGAGAGGTCTTGTTTCACCCATAGCCTTGCCAACACAGTATGCTGTTAACCTTTTGGATTTTTACCAGTCTGCTAGGTGAGAAAAACTTCCTTTATGTAGTATAATTCTCATTTCTCTGATGAGTAAGGTTAAGCGTATTTCATATATTTTAAGGCCATCTGTAACTCTTTTTATATGAATTGGCAAGTTTTTTATTGAGTTGTTACATCCTTTTGTTCTAGATTTCTAGGAACTCCAAACACTAAGAAAATTAGCCCTTTTCCTGGGATACGTGATGCAAATATTTCCCCAGATTTGTCATTTGTCTTTTGACTTTGCTTTTTTAACTTTTCATTTTGGAAAATTTCAAACATTGACATAAGTAGAAAGATTATATAATGAACTCCATTTACCCGTCACTCAACTTCAACAGTTACTAACACATGGCCAATCTTACTCCATCAATTATCTCACTCACTCCCATCTGAGGTTATTTTAAGGCACATCTAAAATAATCATCATAGCTATCTGCAATACATTCTGTTTGTATCTCTTTTTTAAAAAAATGTAATCACAATACCATTATTACATATGTAAAATGAACATAACTTCATTAATATCATCAAATAACCAGCATTCAAATTTCCCTGAACACACATTGTGATTACTTTATAAGTCTCTTAAGTCTCTTTTAGTCTGTAGGTTTAGGCTCTGTCACTCTTTTTTCCCTTGAAATAGATTTTTGAAGAAATTAGTTTGCTGATCTGACAGAATTCCCCACAGTCTGGATTTTGCTAAGTGAGTTTCCACAGTGTCTTTTAACACGCTCCTCTGTCCTCTGTGTTTTCTGTAAATCAGTAGCTAGATTTAGAGGCATTATCACATTTAGATTTGATTATGGGGAGGTAGGGGCAAGACGACTTCATAGGGAGTGTTGTGTACTTCCTTCAAGGAGCACATTGTGTCTGTTTGCCTCTCTTACGATGTTGGCAGCTACTGATCATCAGTAAATCCATCAATACACTAGCTGTTGCAAAATATGTCTTTCAAATGCTAGAATCTCTTCTTCATTTACTTGCTAGAATATGCCTATAACAAGAAACTTCTCCTCATCAACTATTTGATTAAGCAGAAGGACAGCCCATATAGCAAAAGCAAGAGAATTGTTTGATTTTTAAAAAATACTTTAAAATTTTTTTTTCAATTACAGGGGCATACAATATTATATTAGTTTCAGGTGCACAACACAGTGATTAGACCTTTATATACTTACAAAGGGATCTCCAAGATAAATCTAGTACCCATCTGACACCATACATAGTTATTATAATATTACTGACTACATTCATCATACTGTACTCTACATACATCCCCATGACTATTTTGTAACTACCAATTTGTACCTCTTAATCCCTTCCCCTTTCATCCACTGCCCCCAAACCCCCGTCCCAGCAACCATCAAAATGCTCTCTGTATCTATGAGCTTGTTTATATTTTGCTTGTTCATTTATCCTGTTCTCTAGATTCCACATATAAGTAAAATCATATGACATTTGTCTTTCTCTGTCTGACTTATTCCACTCAGCAAATGTTGTGGCAGATGGCAAGAATTCATTCGTTTTTATGGCCGAGTATTATTCCATTGTATATATGTACCACTTCTTTTATTTTGCATATTAATCATAAATTTTAAATTAACAGGTAGCAAATAGGACACTTCTAAAATATTTTACTACATACTATAACAAACAGATTTATTGTAAATTCAGAAACTCAAACATTTACAGTAAAATGTGCTTACACATAAATGTGACCAAATTTATTTAAAGCCCCTGTTAAATAGGTTCTAAATACATGCAATGCCATGTAAAACCAAGATCATGAAGTTGATGTAAAAAATAAATCACTGAGTCACCAAAATTAGGGAAAAAAAGAAAATGAAGTGGAAACTAAGAAAAGACAGCTAAAACACAAGGAACCTAACAAAGCAGCTTTAAAAATAGGTGATACTAATCTCCACTTTCAAAAGTTTTTAATCAAGTATTTCCAATAACTGTCATTTATAAAATGACATTCTAAAAATCTATACTTGGAATTTCAAAGCGTCCCAATTCAGAAAGCTTTGGCTACTGTTTCTCTCCAGCCCCAAACTTCAAATAATGCATGAAAAACATTGCCATTAGGAAGAAAATATTCCAAGGAATGGTTCAATTTTTAGAAAAATGCACTTACTTCTTCCAGAGCCTTTTAAGACCCACAGTCAGCATTAACAACAATCATTTTTCTTATTTTCATCCCTTATTTTCCAATGTCATGATAGAGGTGAATAAATTATTTGAGCCCATAACTGAAAGATCAACAAACCTGGTTTTATTATGACACTGTCATAATACCCATTAATGAACACCCAGGTTGCCTCCATATCTTGGTTATTGTAAATAATGCTGCAATGAACATATAGATAGATGCATATATGTCCCTTCAAAGTAGTGTTTTGGGTTTCTTCAGATAAGTACCCAGAAGTGGGATTACTGGGTCCTTCTTTGTCTCTTGTTATAATCTTTATTTTAAAGTCTATTTTGTCTGGTATGCGTATCACTATTCCAGCTTTTGTTTGTTTGTTTGTTTGTTTCTGTTTTCATGAAATATCTTTTTCCTTCCCTTTACTTTCAGTCTGTGTGTGTCTTTTGATCTGAAGTGAGTCGCTTGTAGGCAGCATTGTTTTCTTATTCATTCAACCATCCTACGTCTTTTGATTGGAGTATTTAATCCATTTACATTGAAAGTAAATGTATCAACAAAACAAAAAGATATCCTACTGAATGAGAGAGGATATTTGCCAATGGTATATCTGATAAGGGGTTAATAACTAAAATTTATAAAGAACTCATACAACTCAACAAGAAATAAACAACCAACCCAATTAAAAAATGGGCCAAGGACATGAAGAGACATTTCTCTAAAGAGGACATACAGATGGCCAACAGGCATATGAAAAGATGCTCAATGTCACTCATCATCAGAGAAATGCAAATAAAAACCACAGTGAGATACCACCTCACTTCTA